CTTGAGATACCGTTTGATATGCCTCTGCAGGGACCTTAGCTGCTTTTGTGTTGCTTTTGAGAAGTCTGAGTTTGCTAGGAATGATGCTATACTTTGTCACAAAATACGCCTTTTGCACTCACTTTTGTGTGCACACTTGAGGCAATTTTGAATGTTTTAGCAATCAGTTTTTTTCAGATACTTTGCTGAAAAACAAAAAGCAAATATTTGAGTAGATTCCTAAAAGCAAAAATAAAAGTGCATTCCTGAAAACGTAGGCTTCAATTGCAATTAGAAAATTGTAATAAGTAGAGTTCATCTTCTTTTAAAAACAATATTATTTTTATTGTCAGCTTTCAAAATCAAGCTTGCCAAGTACAGAATCTCTAATGTTAACTTCTCCGCAATCATCCACCCTTGATGCAAGTGAGAGACTAACGAAGAATATTCAGGCCCATCCTACATGTGATCTACCAGTAAATGGTACTACCTCAGCAAGTAAGTTGATAATTTTGGCCCAATTTTAGGGGTGGTTTATTGTAAACTGATGTGAACTCTGATGGACTTAGCATTAAAAAAAAAATCTGATCTCAATTCTCCTGTAAATCCAGTTAGCCCTCTTAGAATGTCTCTAGTTACCTCTGAAAAGACTCATTCTAAATCTGGGGTTTTTTTACTAAGTAACATTTGAGGGTAAAATATTGACAAGCCTCAATACAAGTGAAAAAGCTCTTGTACTCCATTGCACTGACATGTAAAAAAAATTTTTTTTAAAATTTAATTTTCTTTTTTAATTGTGAAGGTCCAACGTTAACATCATCTGTCACTGCTGGAGTTGCAAGTTCATTGTCAGAAAAAATAGTAGAAACCATTGGGAGTGGCAGACCGAATGCACCTCTGACATCAATTCAAATAAAGTTCATTCAGAATATGATACAAGAAACAATGGATGACTTCAGGTACTGCTGTTCATGTAGAATGTTGTTGTTTTCAATGACAAGTTTTCTTAGATGTTTTAGCATCTGCTTTAACAAATTTCTACTTGGATTCACAAATTACACTATTAATATCTCTATTTTTGGAAATGTAGGTATAAAACTTGCTTTTAATAGCTCTGATGACTAATTAGACTGATGTCTCTGAGGGCTGTCGGTGCATGACTTTGCTAGCATGTTTTCAGAATGAGTGTTTTGAGTATTTCTTGGATGGTAAATTTAATCTGCATAATGAGGTCCTTACTGTTTTCCTGAAACCTTGTGCTGATTTCTTTCCCTCCCTGCTTGTCTCCCTATCCCAGCAGGAGAAATTTCTCTTCAAGTTGACACTGTGGAGAGTTTGATTTAGACAGTTGACTTATGTTGGCTTTGAATGTTATTAGCTTGGCATATATAAGGTAAAATAGAGTGTGTATTTCTACTGGTGAAGTTTCACATTGAAATAATGTCTGTGCTGTAAGTGATGGTTGGTGTCAGATTACTTTGTGGTTATTTACCTAACATTTCAGTTGTCATGGAGGAAGTCCAATTAGCATGGATCCATTTAGAGTGGATCTTGAAGGAGGTGGAGCAGTTAAGAGAATTTTAGCGAGGAGAGTACTTCCCAACCCATGTTTAAGATGAAGTAGGTTGACTGAGATGGTGGAGAGGAAAAGAAAGGCTGAGCAGGGGAAATACTGCTGTCTTGATGACAAAAGGCAATGCAAAACTATCTTAGTAGGTCCATGTGCTATGGCTGTTCTGTATCTGCCAACAGGAAAATACATTGAATGGTATTAAATGTCTTTAAATAAATACAGTATAGTAAAACTGCCCTGGGATTTTTGGCAGTAATCACACATCTGATTAAAATGTGTAACTTTCATATGACTTAAAATGCAGTTGATGTGTTGCAGATGTGTTTTCTTGTAAGAGTATTCATTCAGGCAGCACAGAGTCCAGTCTAGGTATGCTTGCCAGTCTTTTACTTCCAGTATCTGAGATCTGGAGGCTTAGATACTGTGTTTGTCTTCTGACCTACTCTCCCTGGAGTGGCTGGAAGGCTGTGCTGGCCCTTTTTCCAGTTATAAGTTGCAGATACATCCAAAGTGAATGTAAAGAGATTGTTTGTGCTGGGGTCAGTAAGAGGGAAGGGAGCCCTTGCAAGCTCCTCATTGATGTAGCTGCCTTTTATCCTCTGAAATCTGAGGAAAGGATTTTTATCATTCTTGACTGAAATTCATTCCTCTTCAAGTAATGGAGGAAAAAAATGAGGGCCAGGAGGAATATATAGTTCATTTGATCTTCCTGTCTTTGGGAGATAACCCACATCTTTGGATTTCTAAGCTGCCAGCTGGCATCTGTGCTTGATACACTCAAACAAGATTGCCTCCAGTAGGAGTTCTGGAGCACAATATCCTGTGGAAAGAGAAAGTTAAGAACACATTCCCTTTGGGTTTGCAAGGAAAGAAGTGCTAAGTAAGATCTGTGTGTAGCTACTTAAGAAATGCCTTAATTTCTCATGCCTGTGGTATTTGGTCTCAGCTGCCTGCACAGTGATGGACTGTTCAGGAAGAGCTTGTGAGCTTGTCTGCTTTTCTGTGAGCTTTTCTCATTCTTCCTCAGCATCTGGAACTGTTCTATCAGTGGAGTGTTCAGATGCTGTTTTCAAGCATGGTTTTTGTAGTATGGAATGTTTGTGTATGATTTGACAAATTCATGTTCATTTCACAGACAACACTGCTGCTGCTTTTTATGTAGATTAGCCTGGAACATTCTATGGGTTTGAGGATAATGTATCACTTATCACAGTTGATGTTTTGGGCCCTCTTACAAAAGAGTTCTGAAAGTCATATACTGAAAAGCTGTATCTTCAATTACAGATAAATATCTTTCCCTCTGGTACTTGTGATCAAGGGATTGAAAATCAGCTTTGAATGGTAAAAATGAGAGAAGCTTATAGCTTGCAAGTGAAAAACCAATCTTGATATCACAATGTATATATCTATGTTTCTAAACAGAAAAGATCCTAAGTCTTCTTATACGCTGAAAAAAATGGTACTTATGAAAATCAATGTCATAACAAAAGTATTCCAGAAAATAAGCTGTAGAGGATTATATTTTATGGTTTAAGAGGTTTAGACTCTTGTTTCATGATGTCATGAAGGTGAGGAATTGTGGAGTTTTTGTTGCTGAGGATTGAAGAGAAAGACAGAGTGCTTCCTAAACAAATGTAAGCATTGTCCTTTTGCAATTCTTCCCCCAGAGAAGCATGCCATCGAGATATTGTGAACTTGCAAGTGGAGATGATCAAGCAATTCCATATGCAGTTGGTATGTACAAAGACCAATGATGGGAAATACATTCAGTTTTCAGTTTTGGTAATACCAGGGCACTGCCATCTCTGAAAACTGAAATCAATCTATTTTGCTAATTAAGGGCAAGAAAGAGGGGATTTAATGTGAGGGAGGGGGAAGGTATGAATGGGAATCTGTTAAATTGTAATATGCTTGATAAATAAAGGGCCATATGCACTGGGTAGGTATCATGAATTCCATATTTCAGAAATTATAACAAGACAAAAGTGAAACAAATTCAACTGTCCATTGGAAAAGGCCAAGGGCTGGGGTAAGGAGGAGATAGATGGAATTCAATAGAAAGCTTCACTTGTAGGTACTGTAAGCTTACTGGAGTGTGTTCTGTATTCTTTAGCTTCACCTTTTTATCAACCTTTGTTCTTTTGATCTGCTTTAAAAAGACCTTGTCTGGGTACTGAGCATTTTAATGGAATCTGCATTAGTAGATTCTCATCCTGAAGAATTGCAAAATATTCTTTGATAAAATATTCACTAATGTATTAATGATCAAAATACTGTATGTCAGTATAAAAAAAATAATCTTACTTATCAAAAGTTTTTAAAAACGGTCCTATCAACGTTATTTAATTTTCAATTAAAAATGGATAGGATAAAACTGGAATTACTAAACTTCATGCCAACTGATTGGGGCTTTTTTCTTTTCTCTAGAATGAAATGCACGCTTTACTTGAAGTATACTCTGTAAATGAAAGCTTAGTAGCTGAAATTGAGAGACTACGAGAGGAAAACAAAAGACTGAGGACACATCTGAAAGATTTACATTGCTAATTTTAACATGAAAACACTACGGTTGGTGTGTTGCCTACGACAGATCATCTATCATCACTGAAGTATTGTTTGAAGACCTGCTATTATTTTGAACATGAATCTGTTCTGCTTATAATAAAATTTGTAACAGATAGACACTGTCTAAAGAACATTTGCATACTCATGCTAGCCACCTTCTAACTGAAAAACTGAGAGGACAAGTACATTATCACAGTTTTAGCAATATGTGAAGTGCCTTTTTATAAACAAAATCAAACCAGGACAGATGCCTTTTCTGTAAGAATGTTTTGATATACCAACTTTTCTATCTGCTTCTTTATTCTACTGCTGTCAGAAGCAATCACTGTAGTTTGCCTTTGAGATACTTTTCTTGAAGAAAAAGGGGAGAGAAAGCCCTTCTTTGGCATGACATGAAGCCTTGTTTACAAGTCAGTTAACTTTATTCATCTGGCAACTCTTCTGTCCTGAGTAAAACTAGAGCTTGAAAATACTCCCAAATTCAGTGCCATGATTTTTCTCATGCAGTTTGTAAGTCTGAAAGTTATACTTGTCTGCTGTAAACTTTGTGGTTGCAAATGCTACTTCAACTGCACAATGAGATTTTGGTTACTACTTCAACTATGAAACTAGAATTCTCTTTATTTTCACATAGTTGAATATTGTCATAGCTTGTCTAATTTGAATACAACTTTAGACTGCAAAATGTAGGTATACACAGCCATTAATAACACAGCAGTGTGGAAATGCAATCTTTCAGTCCTTGGCTCAAGCATCTTTAGTGCCTACCAGCCCCTTCCTATTCATAGTGAACAACACTTAATATTGAGCATTTGTGTTGTGGGATTGAATCTTGTTGGTTTAGCATTATTGTAGCCTTTTTGAGATGAGCTGCTTACCAAATCTAACCATAATCTCATACGATTAACATAACAAACATTAAAGAGAGATCATTACTTCAGTAGCATAATGGTATCATACTGGTGTGTAAACATTTCTGAAACGAAGCTCAGTATGAAGTCCTGGCTCTGCTGAAGTCTGTGGGACTTTTGGCTTGGCCTTTATTTGTGCCAAGAAGTTTAAATTAAGACTTCCAATTCTGTTACTTTAAAAAGTAAATGAACATTTAAAATAAAATAAAAAAATGTCTCTGAAAGATTTCTACAAGTGCCTCTTGCTATTTAAATTGTTCTGGAGGCTTCTTAATATTCTGTTTAGTGTTTGATTGTTTCTTTTCACTGATACAAAACTCAAAGAAGGAAGGTCTGAAGAACGCAGCAGGTTAATTCATTACAACATCTAGTGTTCAAATCCATGATGACACTTTTCTACTGAACTGAGTAGGTAAATAATAAAAGCCATAATATATAGTGTAACTTATTTTTATATGTTGCAAAACTAAAAGAAAAACCCTCAACCCTAAAACTATCTATAACTTTTTCTTATCTTTAACTTGTATTTTCAAAAGAGACTTCTTTTGTTTATTTTTAATGTCAGTTAATGACAAATGTCATCTTGTAGCAAAATGAGTGTGTTCAAGTAGCCTTTAATATTGGAGACATGACTTTAAATGTCTGTAGTTCTGCTGCTTTGATAAGCTTTTAAAATACTTCTATATCACATATAACATCATAGTAAAAGGAAGCAAAGAAAGTTGGGAGGTTTTTAGTAACAACACACAGTGGAGAAATTTTTTGTAAAGTTCATAGGATGTCTAAGCTTGACACATAGTCCACACAGTTTGTGAAGACAGTAATAGTTGAAGGTAGTAAAAATATTTTAGGGTTCTTCTACATGCTTGGCAGTGTTAATGAAGTAACCTTGCATATTTGCATCTCTGGATTTGTTCCCCAAGTGCTCTTGCTAGTGTACCCGGACGACAGTAGGGAATTAAGACAACTATCTTGGGTCTTTCACTTGTAGATAATTTGTTTTCTTGACTCAGAACTGTTTAATGTTTTTCTTAATTCCCAGATGGAGGTGATTATAGAAGGAGTGATTAAAAGGAGATGTTTTGGCCTTTAAAAAAAAAGATTTTTAGAGCTTTTTTCCATATCTCAGGATTACTGTAGCACAAGTGGCTACACATGGTGTGTGGAGACCTAATACGCCTACCACTCCAGGGGTATGTTTTGCCTTGTACACAGTCTGATTTGTATGTTAAAATAAAGCTTGTTTTAACCTTTTGGAGAAAAAAATGCTGTGCTGACCTACTTATTAAAGCAAAGAATCTGTTGTAATTGTTCTACCTCAGCAGGTGCAATCTACCTAAAATTCTTGAGTTATCTTTCTTCTGCCCCTGTAGGTTCATTAAACCATCAAATCATTTTCACAGAAATGTTCACAATACCTCATGCTTTTGGAGTAAAGGACAGATGAGCAGTTCCCCCTTTCAACTTACAGTGTTATAGTCATGACAAGAGATCATGTTGACAGCTGACAATAATGTCCAAGCAGATGTTTTGGGTGGGGGGAATAATCTTGTGTCCTAAGCTACTGGCAAGTTGGAGATCCCATGTCTTCCTAATATTTAACCTATGGATGTTTCAGGTTTTAGTTCCATTTTCTATCATGCAAATACAGATTTCTGTGATGAGAAGTTTATGTGCAGTTTCAAGGTATGTAGGGTTTGAAAATGATTTTGACTAATTGATTTATTCTCATAAAAATGCAAAATGCCAGCATGTCCTTATTTCCTGGCACTGGCCCAGGAGTGCCTGATAAACGTGCCATCCTGTTCACAAGCACCACAAACACCTTCTATCCAAGGAACAGGTCCTAGGAAAAGAAAGAACATCCTTTATAGACTGCATCACCAAACTGCTAGCAGCTACCCTAAACACTAAAACTGAAGAGGCAAAATGGTTGCAGAGTATTTGTGTATAAAGGTAAGAGATCTGATACTCTGACTGACAGGTGCTGTGCTATGCTTGCCCACCTGTGCACTCCTGTCTGTGAGCATTACCAGTGCGTGTCAAGAGCTGCACCTTCTGGTCTCGCTGAGTACAGGCATTTTCACATAACCTCTTGCTCTGCACCTGGGGGATGCTGATTAACAAATTCTCAAAGAACAAACTCGGGAAAGAATCTTGTGCTCTTTCTTAAGCAACCTGTACCAGGCACTGGCAAAGATAAGGTATGAGGCTAGAGGGACAAGAGTAAAAATTTATGAAGTGTTTTCTAAGATCACCCATGAAAGTAGCTGTGAGTCTGGATGTTGCTCTGTAGCCAAGGAAGTACAGACTGTACCTGTGCACTTCATGTGTACATATTTGTCTCTGACACAGCTATAGTACAAGGAAACTTAACAGTGGAATCATACTCAATGTAAGATTTCAAAAGTCATTGTAAGTACATCATTTTTAGTTAATTTTGGCAGTCCAAGCAGTGATAGATTCGTGGGACTAAAGCCACAATCCTTGAGATGTGGCCAATGATCTGACATATCTAGTGTGCTGTCTGTGTAAGTTGCCAATAACCCCTTTTGCTAAATAGTCACTTTTGCTGAAGTTAGGGGCTTGTATGAGATGTCATTTTCATTTCTTTGAGTGGAAAGCTATCCTAGAGGTGGAATGCATATCTAATGTTTTGAAAACAAACTGCCACTTTTGTGGCAGTGTATATATTAAACTGGATTTTTAAGAGATGGGAGAAAGGGGTAATGAGACAAGAAATAAATATTCTTGATCCAGAAGGCACATCAATTTTGATAGCAACTTCCAGGTTATTCTCTCTTCACCTGAATACAGACAGTGGCTGAGTAAAAGTGAAGGAAAGAGACGTGTAGACTGTTCCTATTTATTACTTAGCCTCATTGGTACTTAAAACATTCAGACTTAATCTCAAGTAGAAAGCATCGTTCTTTCTTCTGGACAAACGACAGTATGTCTGAAGAGGTTTGATGGAGCAACAACTGCCCCATTTATTTTGGACTGTGCCCATCTTGAACCAGTTCTGGTCTCCAATTGCTGGTGCAGCATAAACATGTTATTTTGGGACTGAACCATGGTAGAATTTTTAAAGTGTCTGGCTTGGGCATGTAAAAGTGATGCGTGTCCTAAGCCATCCACTCTCCATCATGTACCAGCACTAGCAGTTCTGAGAAACAGCTGCCCAGCTGTGTATTGCCTGCTCTCCCATGAGGTCACTGGCCTAGCTTTAGACACGACTGACTTTGGAGGGAGTTTAAAACTGTCGTTATACCTCTGAAGATCACTTGAGATCTGTTCTAGCAATAGGAGCTTCTGTTGTTCTTATTAGCAGAATATTTTTCTCTCTTAGTTCTCACAGGTGTGAGTTGCAGCACAGTCATGCCTTGGGCTCTATATCTCTTTTGAATTCATTTTTCCACTCATTCTAGCTAAAAATACCAAGGCTCATGTAATTGAAAGTTATTGTGGTTCCTATCCAATTTCTTAAACTACAAATTTCTGTCTCTATATGGAAATTGCTGAGAGACAATGCTTTTTCAACCTGTTATTTTGCAAATATGATAATTCTGATTTATTCTTTTCATCCCTACTTGTCCTCTGAGTAATGCAGAAGGAAAGAAATTACACAGAGAAAAGGACACATGAAAAAAGAACACAATTTCCTATACAGGTTATTTACAGACAAGTGCTTTTACTGGTTATAAAAATACATATTAACTAACATGGAGTAAGTGTTTCAGAATTAATTTTAAAAAATTAGTACTATAAATAAACACTAGTGCTCAGTTGCATTACCATAACACTACTTACCAGAATGACTGAATACCCAGTGTGTCCAGCTGGGGATATTTTTTATAACTATCAAGCTGCAGAGGGTGAGCTGTGTTTTCTGAATAGTAATTCTTCATATTTTCATAAGGTCTTAGACTGGCCAATCAAAAAGTAGGGCGAACAAACCTGATTAATCATTTTTTGAAAGTTTTGGGCTAAGTAGATGTAATTGTTCCCCTAATTTCATAGCTTCTAAATTCTAGGAGTTCTAGGTTTATGTTATTCCAGTTCTTATCACTG